CACAATTGCACGACGTGTGATTTCTCAGATGGTCACACGAGCACTCTTTAACGGTGGCAAAGTGGCACTCCACGAGAAAATCTTTACTGCCTTGAAAAGACTTTAAAATCACTTTTTCATCTGTAATGTCAATCCAAGTCTTCATGACGAGGTGAATTAAACCTGCACACGACTGGAGAATATCTTGGTGAAGTACAATTTAACCCTTAGTGCTGAATAGAAATCAGGATGAAAACCTGCCCTATTGTGTAAATGTCCCAGCTCCAACATAACACTGAGTGGAAGCGGCTGCTGTTTTATCCCTGTTCATGTGCAACTTATCAGCATTTTAAATAGCTTTAGCAGCTGCAGTGTTTCCTGATAAATTTCCCTCTACCCTTGGAAAGCACTGTCTTCATTCTTCACCCATAATTTTATGTAATGTGAAAGTCCCGGTGAGTTCCTTTGCCTTTGTGATGACTAAAGGAGAATAATTTTGTTTCTTTCATTTTTATTGCTGTGTAATACAACCACCAGACAGAAAAGTGCATGCAACACAAATATTCAGTATCACAGATAATTACAAAATGAAAACCTGTGTGGTGACCCCTGAGATCACACGGTGGAAACTTGCCAGAACCTGTAAGTCTTCTCTTATCCCTTTCCAGTCACAGCCCCTCCTCTGGCCCAGAGGCAGCTGCTCTTCTGACCTTTGTGATCACGTCCCGGCTTTTCTTCGTAATTCTGCTCTTTTGTTTGTGGGGGTATGCATTCCCGAACAAGACAGTTTAGTCGCGCCTGTTTTTGAACTTTATGTATAAATGAATTATGCCAAATGTACTCCTTTATTATGTCCTGCCTCTGTTATTCAACATTCTGTTTGTGAGAATCGTTCATGTTTTGGGGTGTAGCCACAGTACATTCATCCTCACTACTGTACAGTGTTGTGTTGAATTTATAGTCAAGATGTACAGCGGTTTATGGAATGGAGTTAGGTTTTGGCCACTATGAGCAGTGCTGCTGCATGGGTGCATGCGTCGCCCTAGGGCGACCAGGAGTGGATTTGCTGGATCACGGGAGTCTGAATCAAGTCTGTTAAATACTACAATATAGTTTCCTAGGCACTTGTCCCGCTTAGACTCTCACCAGCAAAGTACAAGAGCCCGGGTCGACTCAGCCCTACGCGGTGGAGGGGTGGGTTTGCTCAAGACGACTGCTCTGCAAAGGAGGCTGCTCTGCCAGCACTCTTCATGGACTCCTTGGGGATATCGTTCAAGACAGGAGTTTTAGCCCTGGCCGGTTTGGCTCCGCGGTTGGAGCGTCAGCCTGCAGACCAGAGGGTCCCGGGTTCGGTTCCCATTAGGGGCATATACAAAATAAATAAAAAAGACAGGAGTTTTACAACTGAATTTCAGTAATGTTTAAAAAGGGTACAGAAGGCCTGGCCAGTTTGGCTCAGCGGTTGAGCCTCAGCCTGCGGACCAGAGAGTCCCAGGTTCGGTTCCCGCTAGGGGCACGTACCACCAAAATAAATAAATAAATAAAAAAAACACAGTTCTATAAAAATAAAATAATAAAAAGAGTACAGAAAAGGACCTAGGGGAGCTGCCCCACTTTCCCTACCAAGGGGTATGTGCTCACCAAATCTCAGACATTTTGTCAAGCTGGGTGGTGGTTTCTCCCTATGGCTCTATTTGTGTTTCTGTGATTACTAAGATTGGGTTCCTTTCAGGTGTTTATGAGTCATTTAGATTTTTTCCTTTTGAAATGCTCCTCTAAGGCTTTGTCTATTTTTGCACTTTCCTTTCGGATTTGTAGGAATTCTTTATATATTCTGGACACTCGTCTTTTGTCAGTAACATGTATCAACGAGAGTATATTTTCTTGCTCTGCTTTGCCACAGATATATTTATGTCACTGAGGACCTATTTATAAACTTTTAAACAAATTTATAATGGAATCTTTTTGATTCAAATATAATATTGAAGGACTTTTGTTAGTGGAATTTACTTTAAATTTACTCTTAAGAGCCATAGGGAAAGTCATACTGTCACCAGAAAGGGGACCGGCCCAGAGCGGGTTTCCCTCAGGAGGGCCAACAGTGTGGGGCTCTTTCCACGCAGGAGAGATTTCACAGCACAAGTCCTGGTGAGTTTGAGGGTACGTTTAGTAAAGCTGGGGCCAGTGAACCAGGAAGGGCTTAGGACAGAAGCAGCAACAGGAGAAGGCCGAGGCGGGGCTGCTTTGGCCCTCTAGAAATGTCCCAGGAGAGAAAGAAGCCTGGGCAGGGCTGTTTTGCATTAAGAAGTCAGAGAAAAGGGGGACTCAGGGACAGGTCCAGGGGATTAGCCCAGGATGAGCCGCAGCTGCCCACTGCTCCTCCGGTTGCAAGTCTCCTGGGGGACCGTTAGTGTTGAGGGGCGCCTGTGGGGGGAGGGGAGGGGCGGGAAAGGCGCTGGTGTGCTCCTAGGAGGGAGAGCTCACTCTGGGCCCTTAGTTTTGAGGGTTTTTAAAGGCTGGGAGTTTAGGGGAGACTGAGGGGAGCTCTCAATAGAATGTTCATCAGCTTTTCCAGGTGTACCCTTTCAGGGTCCTGGTCTCCACTGATTGGTCGGCGCCACGACAAGGGGTCATTCGTCAGCTCGTCCTGGCAGTTGCCTACCTGGTTTTGCTGCTTTTCTGGGCCTGAAGCTGAAATGCACCTGGGACTTAGATGTTACTTCTGGGGAGGTGGCCTTCTATGTCTGCTGTATGTTGCTCGGCCAGTTTTTTCCGGCTGTTTCCCCATTCTACTTGCCAAGGAATTTTCCTAGCTTCTTACAGTTGGAAAATCAGTTTATATTTTCCTGATTCCATTATTTGGTGTAGATTGTGGCTTTTGAAAGTGACCTAGGACAGTACTTTGTCAGCTTTCTATTATAGTCTTATGTATATATTCTAACACTTACCATATGTACTGCATTCTTCATTTTTCAGTAGGGCATCACAAGCTACTACTAGGCACAAATTAAAATAGAATATAAAAGGAGAAGTTTTAACAGAGAAATCTGTGTTAAGGACCAGAAGAAAAATTATTAATTAGGGTTGACAGCTGTAAAGTAATACTTTTTCTTACCCATTTGAAGGGATGGAAATAGAAACATTATTTCTTTTCTTCTTAAAAATAATTTGTTTTGTGAAAAAAAAAAAAAAAAAAAGACACATACGGTGGTTCCCCCTTATCCACCGGGGATGTGTTGTTCCAAGACCTTCAGTAGATGCCTGAAATTTCGAGTAGTACCAAACCCTACCTAAAACTGTTTTTTTCCTGTATATACACACCTTTTCATTTAAAGAAAGCACTATACAGCCTTTCTTTGGCATATCCGAATTGCTTCCATACTCCTCTTGTGCTTTGGGCCATAATTAAATAAAGTAGAAGTGACTTGAACACAGGCACGGAGATACTGGGACAGCCCATCTGATGACTGAGCGGTTACTGAGTGACTAATAGTCAAATACGTTGAACAAAGGATGATTCACCTTGGAGGAGACTGAGGACAGTTGGAGATTTCATCAGGCTACTAGAACAACACACCATTTAAAAAGTTATGAATTTTTATTTCTGGAATTTTCCATTTAACATTTTTCGGACATTCGTTGACAGTGGTAACTGAAACGTCAGAAAACAGACTATGTATCAGGAGGGACTACTGTGTTCATTCGCACATTTAACCAAAATAGGAAAAAACAAAACAAAAGAAAAGAAAAGTAACTCCATATTTGACCACCCAGAGGTCACCATTGCTGCTGTTACACTGAGCGTGATTCCAGTCATCTGTCTTTGCTATACACGTACAGGTAATTACGTAACTCAGAAAGGGCACTACACACTGCATCACCCTTTCTCAGTGTGTTTTCTAAGGGCAGGTACCACACCAGCTAGAGGTAACCTACAGGGAGATTCCTGGTGGTAACCAGCGGCCACTCCCTCCTCACCTCTTTTTTCTTTTTGCACTTTTAAGAGAAATATGGAGACAGAAGATAGGAAAGGAGAATGTGATGATTTGTATTTGTGCTTCACCAAACCACTGAGAAAAGGCTTTCCGAGAGGAAAACCATGCTCAGAATTAAGTGCACAATTGAAGCAGGTCCCAGAAAAGTGATGCCTTGAAGGAACTATATTAAGGAACCAATATTTCCTAAAGTGTGTGCCGTAGGGTGTGAAAAGGTACATGAAAAAGTGTTTTGTGGTCAAGAAAGTGTGGGAAATGCTGAGGTTAGCCAAGCCAGACAGGTTTCTTCAGTGAAGGAGGCTGCGTCTCTGGCGTAGGGGAGGGGGGCAGGCAGCGGTTCCCAGACATCCAGCCCTTTCTTCACAGAGAATCACCCAAGTCCAGTCCTCTTAGAAAACTCTGGGAAAAGCTTATTTGACTCTAGTATATTGTACTTTAAAGTTAGTATATATAAATAATTTTTTAAATACAAAGCTTGTTTTCTGATTATAAAAATAAGACACATTCACCATACAATATTTGTTAAATAGTTAAAGGTAGGGTGAACAAAATTAAAATCACCCATAATTACACCATTGAAGATAGCCAATATTTGGTTTATTTTGATGTAGTTTTTCCTAGACCATTGTCTGTGTGCGTGCATGCATGTGTGCATGCGTGTGTGTGTGTGTGCATGTGTGTATAAAAACATAGAGCTGTCATGTGTATTTTTTTAAATCTTGGATAAAGAACACTTTATTAATTAGAGAAAAATTTTAGTCCCTATGATGGAGTACATATAGAGTTTCTTTTTTTAAAAAAAACCATTGCTTTATAAAAACCTTTTGACTGTGAAACAATTTTAGATAATTTTGTAAATATGGTACGGATTAATTCTCATATTCCCTTCATTCAGCCTCCCCTAATGTTAACACTGTGTAGAGGTTTACTTAAGGTTTTTCTGTCTGTAACTAACTTTTGTTTCATTCTGCACGCAGGCTTTGGATTTTCAGTTTGTAAAGCACGCCCTCCCTTCTTTCTTCCTAGGTTACTATCACAACAGCACCAAAGTGGCTGTGAAAACCCTGAAGCCAGGCACCATGTCTGTGCAGGCATTCCTGGAGGAAGCCAGCCTCATGAAGACCCTTCAGCATGACAAGCTGGTGAGGCTGTACGCCGTGGTCACTAAGGAGGAGCCCATCTACATCATCACGGAGTACATGGCCAAGGGTGAGGCACCCCGAGCCCCGCGCTGCTGAAAGACTTAACCCCCAAAAAGTAAAATGTCTAAATGTTCAGAGAATGCTCAACTAATTTTAGATGTAAAACAGCATGCTCACCAATGAACAATCAGAAAATATGGGAAAACAAAGGTTTTCTTAAACCACACCCTTGTAAATTATCCGTGTTATAAAATTAATATCCCGTCTTTCTGTTTTCCCTGCATTCATCTCCATACTTATGTTAGCCCCGAGAACAGTACCCAGGACCTACTAGGGCCCCAGTAAATATTTATCAGATAAATAAATATATATTTATTATTATATGTTTAAAATATGAGTTCTCAAAATCCTAAAAATCGTTTCTTTTCCTCCGTAGCGTTATCTAAATGTTCAGGGTGTCCCTTTAAAATGTGACCATTTTAAAACTTGTTGAGACTGAATGCCTGTGTGACCACAGTCTCACTGAAGGGGAGGGTCAAGAGCTTTTCTTCCCCTGGCTTTCTCTGTCAGATAAAAGAATTTGCGTCATCACAGGTCTCCCTCCAGTTCAGCATACATATTGATAAACTGCTAAACGATGTTTTTAAAAATCAGAAGAAATGAAGGAAGAAAAGCAACATAAGCAGTAATCCAGAATTAACCTTCATTTCCTGAAAAAATGATTATCGTGTGCTATCCGAGCTGGATAGGTTAGAAAGATGCATATTACATTTCCTTAATATAGATTGAAACTTCGGAGTATTAGGCACTCAGAAGCCTTAAAAAAAAAAAGATATTCTTAAAATAAATAAATAAATAAATAAATAAAACTTAGCCCTTATGGCTTCAGTTGCTGTAGCCCAGAAACCAGTCTCAGGATTATATCCTTTGTAGGAGTTCAGTAAATACTAGTCGAATGAACTCATTTGTAGTGTTATTAATCATAAATATAAGTACGCGTTTCTCCAAATAACGCCTAACCTTTGTTGAACACTTACTGTACAGCGGTTCTCAGTCCCTTCCCTGGGCCACGTCTCCCATCTTCCCAGCAGTCTGAGGGCTCCGTAGCATTGTGGGTGCGGTAGCAGAACATTTGCCGCGCACTTGTGACCTGCCAAGTGCCATGGCACAGGCTTGAATCTGTCCTCACAAGGATTATGATATAGGACATGCCCACTGCGTGGGGACTTCGACCCGGCTCAGTCGCTTGCCCACGCTGCTCTCAGAGTGGCTGTAAAGGGGAATAGGCAGGTCTTGTTTTAGAGACGAGGCCGTAGGAAGCAGGAGGGTTTTTCTGTGGGCACAGTCCCTTTGAGGTGGATCTAACGTTTTCCCAAGCAGTGTGTTCATCAAATCCTCATTGAGCACCTTTGGCATGTGCCAAGTTCTATGCTTTGCTGGACATAGATAGGAGCCAGCTGGCTGAGTAGCTGCAAAGGGCAAGGCCACTGTGAGGTTCATTGGCTTCTGTCTCAGAAGCTCTGACAATCAGGTGGCTGCAGTAAGTGTGTCCTGGTGGCAGGTACAAAGTGCTCTGAAATGCATCGCTGTCAGGCACCAGTAGCGAGAAAGGCAGTGTCCGACATCACCCTTTCTTACCTGGAGCACATGTGCATTTCAAATCAGGTCAAAGGTAGCAGGTCAGAGGGGACTGGGTTTGACCAACCTCAGGAAAAGGCACTATAACCATACAGAAGTGAAAAGCCAGGAGTAATGATCATTTGAATTTTATTTGTTTTCTGTTTCTTTGGAACTGCACTAACTTGTTCCTCCATCAACAGGCAGTTTGCTGGATTTCCTGAAGAGTGACGAAGGGGGCAAAGTGCTGCTTCCAAAACTAATTGACTTTTCTGCTCAGGTGAAGTATGAAAAAGGCAGTGTGTGTGTAAATGTGCACAGACCTCCCCTGCTCCAGTTTCCTGACGGATTGTTCCAGAGAAGGCATTGCTGTGGACTGCTTCCCAGCAGTGGTTATGTGTACACTTCCTCAGAGACACCTGGGTGTTTTACACAGTGTGTGCACATGTGTCGTTTTGACTTTGGATGTCATCTTCTTTAATACAAATCAGTCTCTTTATACTTGCATTTATTTCTTCACAAGTGATAGAAAAATGCAGCTGAACTGATCACTTTGTGCTGCATTTGAGGGAAGCAGTTCCGCGCAGTGTACCTTCTAAGGGATGCACAGGTGGTATTTGAGTTACTAATCCGATGTACTGATGCCTTTAAGTCCTCAGTGTTCTTGAAAACACAGGAACAATATTTCTTTCCTACTCTATCCCCTTTCAATCTTTCTTGTTGGATATACCTTTAAGATTTTGAGAAATATTTGTTTATAATGTTTCTAGAACTAGCCGAGAAGTTGCAAATTTGTTTACGTTGAAATCACATGCTTCCTGAGTGTACTTAGGAGCAGAGGGAGGTTACCCAGAAACCCAGCAAAGTCCCTGGTATACCAAGGAAATGTACATTGGAATGATGCCAGCTACTGAATTTTAAGTTTCATTGTGTTTATTAGTCATGTTCAGTAATTTGTTTGTTTCTCGGTATTGGCCACGGATGGTTCATGTAGGGAAGGCCATGTATCATAGAAACCAAAGTAGCATGGAGATTTCTAGAGGTTGTAGGAAAGGGCAGTCTTTATGATCTTCATTTCTTACTCCCATTTCTTCTCCCAGACCCTCTTTTAAATTTATTTATTTTTATTTTATTTTAATCCTTACACTAGGATATTTTTTCCATTGATTTGTAGACAGAGTGGGAGGAAAGGAGGGAGAGAGAGAGAGAGACATCAATGTGAGAGAGATAGGTCTGTTGGTTGCCTCCCGCACAACCCCAACCAGGGCCAGGAATCGAACCTGCAACCCAAGTATGTGCCCTTGACCAGGGATGGAACCCGCGACCCTTTGGTCCTTAGGCTGACGCTCTAACCGCTGAACCAAACCAGTCAGGCAGACCCTCTTTTAGTTGGGAAGTATTGAGGCCTTCTTGGTAGATGAGACCAAGGGAACGGATGAGTACGTCTAAGTCAGGTGCGTAGAGAGTTGTGGCCGAGCTGGAGTCTCCTCTGAAGACTGGAGTTCGTGCCGTGGCTCTGCCACTCGATAGCCATGCCATTTCCAGGAGGTATTTTCCCTCTTTGGGTTATTTTATTCATCTGTCAAATGGGAATGGGAATGCCTGCTTTAAGGCATATTGTGGAGGGTCAAATCAAACGAGCTCCTTGGACACAGGCACTTCAGAGCTTGTCAGTGGAAGCTGAGGACGCCTTGGGGGAAACAGTCCCCATCATTCCAGTGCAGGTGTACGCTGAAGTCGTTCTGCTCAGCCCTCATCTCATTGACCAGAACTTGAGGAGTTTTGTAGGTTCCTTGTCTGAGTAGGAGATTCCAATGTCATCTGGAACTCCAACATCTAATATGGAAAGAAACAAAATTTCTGCGGTGCAACTGGAGGAAGGGAAGGACCCAGCAGCCCTGATTTCTTAGTCCTCTCTAACTCTCTGAGCTGGCCCTCAGACGCTCTGCGGCCCCAGGACCACAGTTACAAAAACCATTGCTCTGTGGTAAGAGGAGGAATGACTTGGATGGTGCAGTTCTAGATCCTCCGTAGATAGGGAGTCAGCAGTGGAGAAAGCAGAAGTCTGGTAAACTGTCACACTTGACACAGGCCCTCTGCCTGGGGTTGTGACTTGGGCATCCCCTATTGGGTGACAAGACGAGGAGTGTAGTGAAGCTTTGTCGCCTGCTCCTCAGAAAGGGAAAGGGGCTGGTGGGGGTGTAGAAAACTGAGACAGGTGGTCTGGGGAACCCAGTGGTCATAGTCATTCTCTGATCTGTGCCTACAGTTGTGTAGGGTAGAAATCATGCAAATTAGGGTGTGTTCTATACCCGGAGAAGGACTTGATTTTGCTACGTGGGTATTCTGTGTTTGATTTTGCATAGCTTATCTCAGAACACATCTTGACATAGTGAAGTCTTAAGTCAAGGCCTCTGTATCCTTTTTTTTTTTTGTACGTGCCCCTAGCGGGAACTGAACCCAGGACACTCTGGTCCACAGGCTGACACTCCAACCGCTGAGCCAAACCAGCCAGGGCTGTATCTGTTCTTTAACTTTGTAAATTACCAGTGTCATTACAAAGGGTAAATTTTTCTGACTTAGAAGAGAATTTGGGGGGGGGGGAGTTATTTTCTACACCTTTATAGCTTGCAAAATAAATTATCGCAGAGGCTGGCATTGGCCATGACTTTCAAATTGTAGGTTTCAGGAGGAGCTGAGGAGCAATCAGGGCCACTACCGCTGGCCTCTGTCTAAGCCAGTGTAGGTAGTCCGCTCGTGCTGTGTTGGCTCTTGTGTATCTGCCTCCGGGTTTCCTAGCAGTGGCGACTGAGTAGAACTGGTGAAAATCTAAGAACGCAGAGTGTTAGGTGGCAGTAGGCGTGTCAGCAGTCCGCAGCCCCCAGAAGTCCCTAAGCAGGTGGGTTCAGCACTAAACACATTTTCTTTACAACCAAATACCATCTCCTTTTGAGTTTATCTCTGTTCATGGTGCAAACCTCACCCAGTCCTTCCTTCAAGGTGGAGCTCCTGGGATCACCTGCTGCCTCACCCTTAATTATCATCTGCTTTATTAGCTTGTGGATTTTCTTATTGTAACATCAATAACATGACGAGAGGGCCTGGACCTCAGTCTGAAAGCACGTACCTTATACATCTGCTTGCTGTTAACCACACCCAGTGACCGGTCCTGCTGTGACATTTACTGCCGGTTCCCTTTATGACTGGTACTACCCAGCCCCCTTCCTCCTTCATGCACCTAACTGCAAGGATCTCTCTGTGCTAAGAAGTCGTCTCCGAATTGTTTCTCCTTTTCCTCTCCATCATGCTCCACTAGTCAACCTTGTCACTTGTCCATAGTGAATAATATGAGAAGAGTGAATATTACTAAAGCTGGCCCGAGGTGATAAGAGGATACCTAGTGCCAGATACCGGATAATACAGCCTTTCCTGTGCTTTTGATCCACTTAGACTGTTGAGAGTGGAAATGGGGTAAAGCAGCAGTATTATATACGTCCACTTGGTATTTGAACTCTAAACAATTAGGCTATGTAATATGTTTATGCTTTCTTTCATTAGCATTGTTAATCGCAGCAATCACATCAGAGTTGGGAAACTAAGTGTTCACAAAGGATGTAGTTCAATTCAGCAGTTTTTTGCAATGAGAGTAGAAAAAAAACCGCTTACTGAATCCCAGCCCCAGAAGAAGGAGGGAACAGGAAGGGGCAGCGTTGGGACTTTTCCCACAGTCTCTCATCTGGCCTGTTCCCTCTCCCCACGCCCTACTTCCCCATGCTCTGCTTTCCCCTTACTATTCTCCCCTATGGCAACCGAGACAGGAAGTGGGGTGAGTGTACGTGGTCTTCCCGCAGTTCATGTGAGAGCTGATTTCATCACTTCCTGTCTCAGGCTGTGTTCGAAAAGGCATTTCTGAGCCCCCGTAATCCAGACTCTCCACACCGTCAGCCCCCCACTTTCCTCTCCATTGAATGGGGATCAGAAAATGCCAACCAAAGCCGTTTTACCCATTGCTTTTTATTCTTGTATTAAATGAAGCAATTTTGAGCTTTTTGGGCTGAGATAGGAAAGTTACCCTTTGCAAGGGGAGTTGATACTTTCAGAGCAAAGAGACTGCATAATTCTGTTCCAGCTTTGGCCTCATGTAAGAGAAGAAATGAACTTGGAAGGAGAAGGGGTTAAAATCTGCGAGCATTGCTTTAGCAGAAGCTGAAGTGAAATTGTAGACGTGTAAAACAGAGGAAAAAGAAGTGGGAAATTCACAGTCGCCATGTGGAGGTCAGAAAAGACATCTTTTAACTCAGGCCAAGCAAATCAAAGCATTTCTTGCGCTTTGGTGGCAACATCCCTGAAGTGTAAACATTACTGAAAATGAAATGGACAATTACGTATGAGTAAAACTGCAATAAAAACGGAAAAACCAGAGTTGTCCTAACAATCATGGCAAGAGGTGACATGTCTTTAACTCCTTGTAGTTGATAAAACACGTCTACTTCCAACATCTAATTTGAGCCCACAACCTTGAAAACACTTATATTGTCATTTAATACCTTTTACAAATGAGGAGGCGGCCTTGGACTTGTCCAGGGTTATAGGGCTGGTAGGTGGAATTGCTGGACTCGATCCTGGGTCTTCTGACTTTAGATAACGGGTTCTCTCCTCCGCACCACTGCGTGCCATGGTCACTTCGCACCTTACACTGTGCAAACAGGCATTTCCCCGCTTTACGAATTTTGCTTATCAAAATTGATATCCTCAGGTTTTTCCCCAAAAAAGTCTCTATTGCGAAGAAATATCACGTAGTGATTATGTTCAAGATACGTTTTGTCCCCTAGTACTACATTTTAAGCCATATTTAAGTTGGAAATTGCTAAAACGAGGAAGGCAGGGAAACCTCCGTCCACCTCCATGTAATTCTCAACCTTTTTGAGTAGGAAGGCCTTTGACATCATAACTTTTGGAGTATCCCCTCATTTTAGTATCTGCTAACTGAGACAACAGTATGTATAGACTAGGAGTTCCTTGTAATAACTCTAGGTTGGGATCCACCAGTCTGTTGATGGTAAATCAGGTCTGAAATGTCTGGGCGGGGCGGTGTTCTGAGGAAGTTGCTAGAGTACTTTCCAGTACCATCAGATGTGGATCACCTCGTTTTGTCTCTTTGTAAAGAACTTGTAAGATTTCTCCTTTGCAGCTCTCGACTCTCCTCCACTCTGTTCCCACCCCCCAATAATAAGGCAACAACTTTATTTTCAAAACCTTTACTAATATTAACCCTTGATT